CTCTAAATACAAGTGTTTTTTGCCCTTATATAGATTTATCTTGTGTTTACACTGCCTATCATATACCAGTTTGTATTTCTTCAAAGCCGAAACTAAGTAGTTCTAGCTATAAATACCATATTCGGAACTTTCCAAGCAGACTTTCATCATATAATCATCCCCATATGCATCGATCTGTTGGACTTATCATGGGTTTGCACCGCATTTAACCAGTTAGCATTACTTGTACTTCCCTGGCCTACAGGCTTGTACAATGCCCCAAATCTTCCAGGTTCCGGTTTATTGCCGATCCTTGGTATGCTAATGGGTTACAGGCATTTTTCCCCGATGCGGACGATAGTAACCATAACACAGGATTAAATTCGAAAATTGTCATCTGTAGGATTTGAACTCTCAACCTGCTACTTGGTGGGGTGACAACTAGACCACTTCACTAAGCCGCCACACCCTTTGTTTTTTTTTTTTTTTTTTCATTTGCACTAATACTTCTTTGAGATAAGTAAAAATTTTTTTCTTCTTTTTTTGTTTTTTTTTTTTACTTTACAGGTACTAACTTTTTTTTCTTTAGTTGCTTCTTTTCTTGAAGTAGTTGTTCTTGGAGTCATCATTCTTGGAGTCATCATCCTTGGAGTCGTCGTTTTTGGTTCTTGGAGTCGTCGTCATTCTTGGAGTTGTTGTTGTTTTTGGAGTCATTGTTCTTGGAGTTGTCGTTTTTGGTTCTTAGAGTTATTGTCATTCTTGGAGTCATTGTCGTTCTTGGAGTTATCGTTTTTGGAGTCATCATTTTTAGTTCTTGGAGTCATCGTTTTTGGTTCTTGGAGTCATCATTATTCTTGGAGTCGTCATTATTCTTGGAGTCGTCATCATTTTTGGAGTCGTTGTTTTCTTTTCTTGAAGTCGTCATTCTTGAAGTTATTCTTTGAGTTGCCATTCTTGGAATCGTTATAATGGGTATTGAGACCTTTGTCGATTTAAGTAGTTTTTTTTTTTTTACTATTTTGTTTTTTTTGCTACGAGTATTACTTTTTCTCTCTTTTTTTAGAAGCTTCTATTCTTGGAGTCATCATAGTAGTAGGAGTCAAGATCTTTGTCGGTTAGTCTACACAAAGTTAATTTTTTGGTTTGTATTACATGGATTTCAGAATCAATAGTCAGATTTTTTTTATTTTTTATTTTTTTTTATTCTACAGTAAATAATAAACTCATCTTTACATTTAAGATCATACATAGTTAGTTTTTCACTTTATATAACATGGAATCAAAAAGTTGGGTCAGCAAACGAATTTTTTTTATCAGTTCTATTGGACAATTCCAAAAAATAAGGTCTCTACTGGGCGATACTGGAATAATTTATGGGGAAAATTAAATGGTAAAAATTGAAAAATGGGTTGGCAGGTAATGCAAAACAAAAATTTATTTTGTGTGACCTTAAGTAGTTTTTTTTTTTTTACTAGTTTGTTTTTTTTTTGTTATGGGTACTTCTTTCTTTCTTTTTTTAAGAGCTTCTTTTCTTGGAGTCGTTATCGTCTCGAGATCTTTGTCGGTTAGGCCACGCAAAGTTAATTTTTTGTTTTGCATTATATGGATTTCAGAATCAATAGTCAGATTTTTTTTATTTTTTATTTTTTTTTATTCTACAATAAATAATAGACTCATCTTCATATTTAAGATTATGCATAGTTAGTTTTTTGCTTTACATAATATGTAATTAGAAAATTGGGTCGGCAAACGAATTTTTTTTTATTAGTTCTATTGGACAATTCTGGAAAAATAAGGTTTCTATCGGACAATATTAGAATAATTTATAGGGGAAAATTAAATGGTAAAATTAAAAAAATAGGTGGTGGGTAATGCAAAATAAAAAATTTACTTTGTATAGCCTTAAGTGGTTTTTTTTTTTTTGCTAGTTTTTTTTTTTTTTGTTACAAGTACTAACTTATCTCTTTTTTTAAATGCTTCTTTTCTTAAAGTTGCTGTTCTTGGAGTTATTCTTGGAGTATCATTCATAGGAGGAAGTGGGTGCTTCTGGTATCTTCATTTTGTCTCTATAGGAAATTGTTCGATCTGTTATGGGTATGTAGAGCTGGGCAAAGTATTTTTTTAGAATAGATTTTTTTTTTTTTTTATACAGTATAAATAAAGTGCGAAGTTGGCACTGGATAATATGCATGAATTGTTATGTATCATTGATTTTTTTTAAAAAAAAATAAAAAAATTTCGGGTTGTATCCGGTAGTGATAAATAGATAAATTTGCTTTTTTTTTTTTTTTTAACTTGTAGTTTTGTTACGTGATATTTTTAGATGACCGATCGATTAAAATCGGTCCCGTGAGTCACATGTTTGACCAATTTGCTCTTCACAAATCGGTTATCATGTGGCTCACATAATCAATTTTGATTAGCCGATCACGGGGTCATCATAAACTAATGCTTTTATAATATAAAATTTTATTAATTGCAACTTTTTTATTTTTAATTTAAAAATTATATAGTTTATATAGTAAAAATATATAAATATACTATAAAAATATATCAGTCATAGGACATGTCCAACTGAGTGTAGTTACTTATAAATCAAATAAGTTGATTTATCCAATTTTATATATAAATTTATGCAAAAAAATTATTTAAATTAAATTTATTTAAAAATATACATATAAACCTTTCTTTAAATTTTAAATATATATTCTTTAGCATTTAATACTTTCTTGTTTAAAGTTTTAGCTCTTGATTATAAGTAGGAGGCTAAAAATTTTCTAATAAAGTTGATCAATTCTTTACTATTTTCTTTAAGTTAAGCTCCAAGCAATAATATGATTGGTTAAAATAATCTTCTAAAACATGAAAAATACTATTAAGTAAAGGTCTTTTCTAGCTTTAAGAAAAGTTGTAGAGGAGGTTCTTCTGATTCTAATGGTGGTTGAATCATCAAAATTGGCTTGGTGAATCCCAAGATACTTGGGGTCAAAGAAGAGAACATAAGGATTTGCAAATTCACTGTTATACAAAGTATTATAGTACTATGATACTTTGTGTAATAGTAAATTTGCAAATCCTTATATTCTCTTCTTTGACCCCAAGTATCTTGGGATCCACCAAGCCAATTTTGATGATTCAACCACTATTAGAATCATTTTAAAAGATTATTTTAACCAATCATATTATTGCAGAGGTTGAGTTAGTTATTTGACTTAAAGAACATAGTAAAGAATTGATCAACTTTAGTGGAAGATTTTCAGCCCCCTACTTATAAATTAAGAGCTAAAATTTTAAACAAGAGAGTATTAAATGCTAAAGAATATATATTTAAAATTTAAAGAAAGGTTTATATGTATATTTTTAAATAAATTTAATTTAAATGATTTTTTTGTATAAATTTACATATAAATTTGAATAATTTAACTTATTTAATTTATATATAACTACATTTGGAACCTCTGTAAAAGGACATGTCCTATGACTGCTAACCATAGCTGCCGCAACAAATTTGAACCTGCAGATCCTTGATTTTGATTGGCTAACGGCCGAGGATCTTCGAAATTTTGGCCCACATTACAAAATTGTTTACTAAATTCCGGCCGGGATTAACTTTTTAATTTTTTCATTACAAAAATAGAAATTCTTAAAAAATAAGCCCACATTATGGTAAAATTGACCTAGGAACAATTTTCACTTAATGGGCTGCTATGATTTCATTAGTAAAATTATGAGTAATTCCGGCCTAATTTTTTGAGCGTCGCTCTTAACCAATCAAAATCGAGAATCTGCCGGTCCAAATTGTTGCGGCAGCTATGGTTAATTATTTTGATAGACACTTTGGCTAAATTTGATGGATTTTTTTTTATTTGAATTCCATGAATCCATAGAATTCAAATATAAAGTTTTATCAGATTCAAGCAGGTAGCTGTCGAGTTATCTTGGGATCTGCATGTCGATCAGCATCAAAAAAGTAGGACAAAATGAAAGTTTTGCAATTTTGGGGGCCACTGAATGATGGATGACATAACTGATAATCACATGATTTGAGATCGAAAACGTATGTACGTACGCAAAGGAACATCGTTATAATTACAAACTTGCTACGTATCATATACACTGTATATAATTTCTCTTTTTCTCTGAGTGAAAACAAAATAATTATCAATGTCAGTGAACGACTCTATAAAGAACGAGGCGCTTGCAAAAGAAAAAAGCCCTCTTCCACCCTCTTCTTCAAACTTTGCTTCTGATCCACATATGCACTTTGTTGAAGAAACGGGAAAGTGGACGTACACAAGCGAGGATGGAAATACCTGGGAATATAATGAAGAACAACAGCAATGGTGCCAAATGGCAAGTCTCTCACTCTATGATAAATAATTCCTTGAAAAAAAATGGTATTTACAACCTATAAATCTTTATGAATAGGATGAAGAAGTTTTGTTGAAACTTCAACAACTTGCTTATTCGGTTCCTGGTGTCGACGAAAGTGTAAGATACTTTACCATGATACAGTAAAAATTTGGTCACTTCAAATGACAACACGAAACGAATTTTCTGTGTTTTTGTGTCCGCCACCAAAGGAACCTGCTAACCCAAACATACGAGAAAAACGAAAAAAGGTTTACACTGTCGATGATGTATGTGTACTATGTAATTCTCTATTCAATTCAATTCAAACGAGGTGACTAATTGATTTTCGATTCACGATTTAAGACTGATCAAAATGGAAAAAAAAAAAAACCGAATAATTCACAAAAGAAAAAACCTGCAAATACTTCTGTATATGTCAGCGGACTACCACCTGACGTTACTATCGAGGAATTGGCTGAAGTTTTCTCGAAGTACGGTGTTTTGTTAGAAGACTTAAATTCTGGTAGATTACTTGAATCTTTTAAGTTTCATTCCGTATTACAATTTTACATTTTTTAATACAAGAAGTTTCATTTTAGGTGGACCAAAAATTAAACTTTACAAGGATGATCATGATCGCCTAAAAGGTGACGCTCTCGTGACTTATTTTAAAGAGGAATCTGTTCTTCTTGCTTGTCAGCTCTTGGACGAAACTGACCTTCGCCCGAACGAAGCTTCCAAAATACGAGTACAAAAGGTAATATACAAAGTTACAAGCAAGCTTTCTAATTTCCTTGTTATAATTGAAATTTTATATTTATTATGCGTTTTACCCCTATCAATATAGGCACAATTTAAAGAGAAGATGCCAAAGCCTTCGGAAGAAACCAACAATAACTTAGTAAAGCAAGATAAGAAAAAAGTCCAGAAAAAATTGCATCAACTTGAAAAGTAGTAACTTTATAGTTAATTTCAATGTTATATTTATTCAAAATGAGTTTTTTAATTTTAATATCTCATTAATACCAGAAAATTGGATTGGTTTGAAGCTGAACCAGGAAAAAAGGCTGAAAGATATAGTAAAATCGTAATTCTGAAGTATATGTTTACATTGGAAGAATTGGAGGTAAGTGAAGCGTTTAAACTAATATAATTTACTGAACTGAAGATTTCATATTTGTAATAAGTCAGAGTATTCTATAAATTAGAACGATGTTAGTTTAATCTTGGATTTGAAAGAGGACATTCGCGAAGAATGTCAAAAGCTAGGAGAAGTAACAAACGTGGTATTATATGATGTGAGTAAGTTTGAAGAAAGGTTGTAGTCTTTTGTACTCTTGCTTTTACCGCTTATGTAAATACACCACTTGAATTACAGAAAGAACCTGATGGTATAGTGTCTGTTAAATTTAAAGATCCATTAAGTGCCGAAGCATGTGTGTTGGTAATTATTATTAGTTTTTTCTTTTTTTTTACTTTTATTTTTTGAAGATAATTGACAAAGGCCAAATTATTTAGAAAATGAATGGTCGATTTTTTGCTGGACGTAAAATTGAAGCAGAAATATTTGATGGTAAACAAAAGTATCAGAAGACTGGTTCCAAGTCAAATGAAACCGAAGAAGAAGAATCTGCTCGATTGGAAAAATATGCAAAGTGGTTAGAACAAGATAATGGTGGACATCAGCCATAAACAAATTAGAGCTCGTTAAATACAACTAATTATTGTTTTAATGGTATTTTTATTTGGACATTCTTTATTAATAAATTAGTGTCACTCTATATTTCATTTTCAGTTATTTATAGTATAAAATGTGGTCTGTTTTAATTTAGTAAGTTGGTTTGACTTTTGATTATGACCTGACTTTTTCCCTTAAAACAAATGAAACAATAATGTACGCCATCAAAAAGTTACGGGCACGTGATTTTTGTGGCGCAAACCAATCAGATCTCAAGATCAGGTGTAACGTAACATGATCAGGAAAATTCATCGAACGTGTCCGTAACTTTTTGGTACTGGGGTAGATGATTTGATCTGGTCAATTGACAACCTGAGAGGTTTAGTATGGTGATTATTAGTACGGCGTACGTACGTGCCAGTCGCAAAACAATCATTTTTGCGCCTACTTTTTTGATGCTGATCGACATGCAGATCCCGGTAAAAATTTTAAAAACTTTGAGCGAAGATAACTTGACAACTACCTGCTTGAATCTGATAAAACTTTATATTTGAATTCTATGGATCATAGAATTCAAATAAAAAAAAAATTCATCAAATTTAGCTAGAGATGTTACGGTCCGGTTTTGGTCCAAAAGACTGGTCGACCATGATAAATGGGTAATGGACTAGGAAAACCCATCTCTAACACTTTTTAATAAATTTTGAGATTTTTGATTCAAATTAAAGTGCTAGCTTATATCTATTAGTATTTCACCTTTTACTCTACATTGATATAATAATTTATCAAGATAAGTTAACTTGAATATAAACCAATTTTTTATGTTCGTGTTTTAAAAATAGATTGACAGTCAAAGATCGACAATTCAATTAAATTAGATTGGTCAATCAGTGTTTTGTAATCACATGACATTGTTTATTCAATAATTGATGTCTAAAATAGACAAAAAATTCAGGAGTACAATTTAGGTTTCACAGGCAAATAATCACTATTTTCTCAAAATGAAAATCTCTTTTTCCTAGTTCATTACCCAAATAGACCGGTAGTTCGGTCTAAGACCAGTCCAAGACCAGTTTTTGGACTGGTTTATTTTAGCTAATAGAAATTCAGAATTTTGACAAAAAAGTACAGTACTACTTAATGTTCACACTATCAGAATTTAATACTAATACAGAGTACTTTATCTTTTGACAATTGGTACTATAGTAAGGTTAATAAAACTTTATTCTTATTATAAATTGTTAACTTTTAGAATAAAGGATTTGTTGATTACAAACTTTAAAAAATTTTAAGTTGGATTATGAATTTTACAAAATCATTTTTTTAAGACTTGGGATATGGTTGATAATACTATTAAAGTATATACAAAATGCAATAGATTTGTTTTTATAAAAACTTGTAAAAATTTTAATTTTGTTAATAAAAGCATTGTTTGTTATTATGTTTATACTGTTGGAAAGCTAAAATTAATAATCTAATAAAGATAGAGAACATTGACTCATACTATAATAGCAAGTGAGCTTCTATTTTCAAAAAAAATAATACTGAAATATATATTATTAAGTTTAACAATACTCATAACTATAGCCAAGAAGAGTGAAAATTATATAGCAGAATTTAAAAGAGCTATAAAAGATTAGTTGTTATCAACTAGAGCTAAACTGAATGCAATATGGTTAGCCTTATTAACTGCATTAAACAAGGCTATAGTAAATGTTTATACAGATAGTGCAGCATCGATTTAGGCAATACAAGTAAGCCAAACCAAAACTAAGCCAAGTGATATAGTAAAAAAGAAAAATCTTTGCCTTTTAAAACAAATATCGAGAACAATTGAACTTAAAGAACTAAGAGTATAATTTAACAAAATCAAAGCACATAGTGGGGTGCAAGATAATGAAAAGGCCAACAAACTTACAAAGAAAGGAGTAAACAGTTCTTTGCTTCTAAACCCGAAATGGCTCTGAAACAAGCAGTTGATTGCTAAGATGAAATAGCAAGAGATATAAGTAGATGACACAACTAAAAGTTTTGTTATATAGCTTACAGATCTAGTTATTGACACTGAATGGAAAAATCTGAAAAATATAAACAAATGGGTTGAAACAACCTACAAAAGAAATGAAGTAGACTGGGGAAAGGTCTAAAAAAATATAAGCAAAGTAAAGGGAAGAAAATGCACAAGCTCTTAAGCTTATAAAAATTAAATTTTCAAAATCAAGCATCTTAATAGTTTACTCCTGACAATGCAAATTCTGAAACAGAAAAAAAGATATTTATATATGAATGACACTTGCAAGATTTGCTTCTAAGAATATAAAACACAAGACCACTTAGCCGAATATACCAAGTTGCAATTAACTTGAAACAAGCTTGAAAAAGAAAGCTGCTTAGCTATTGTTAACAAAACAGAAAAAGAAAAAGCAAATTTGAAGATATATAATAAGCAAAAAATAGCAGAATTAGTATTTGGCAAAAGTCTTGATAAAAAAATCTTAGCTAGAAAAGAACTAATAAGAGGCATGGTAACAAAGCAAAGAGTTAAAAAATTAGCTTGTTATTAGAAGAAAAAGTAGTAAAAACCTTCAGAATCCTACACGCCTTTATTGTTAGCTTCTCACAACATTTTCACAAGCTTATTTGAAACTCCTGATGCAAAAAGATTGTAGAATAGAAAAAAAAAGAAAGCATAATGAAGAAAAAAAAAATAAAAAATATATGAAAAAGAAAAAGTGAAGAAGCAGAAAAACAAGACAAAGAAAATAAGAATCTATCATACAGTTCAAAAGAGAAAGATATCAGAAAAACCAAGTTAGCTAAAAAGAAGAAAAACTCAATACAGCCAAGGAAAGAGAAAATCTAACCAGGGAATGAGAACCAAATTAGCTAAAATAATCTTTTTAAAGCATACAGACAACAGCCAATTAATAACCAAGGGGGGTATTTTGATCAGTATAAAATCTTTAAAAAATTAAGAATCCTGAGGGAAATAAATTGTTGTTTTGGTAGGTCATACTAGATAAATACTTGGTAAGTCTTTTTTAAATTAGAGTAATATACTATAAAGACAATATATATATATATAATGGTTAAATAGTAGTTTCAATAAATAAAGACAAGACTGCTTAAAAAAAAAAAAATACTCATAACCATAAATGTAATATAGATTATATTTGGATTTTGGCCGATTTGGCCTAATTTGCTAAAAATTAAAATTTTGCTTTTTCTTAAATATTTTCGAATTCAGTAATTAGAATTGAATGAATTTTTTTTAAAAGAAGTGTCTTACTAAGAGCTTTCATTTTAAAAAAAGTTTATCCAAATTGGACTGCTAGTTGCTAAAATATTTACAAATATGTGATTTTTTGCTTTTCAAATTTATGGAGGTTTTGCTAAAAAGTTTATATATAACTTATATTCTAAATATCTGGGGTTCTATCTAGCAACTATAGAGCTAGCTTTCAAAAACTCATGTATTTCTTAAATAATTTTGGATAAAACACTATAAATAGTTATTTGGGCACTAAACAACAATATGATCTTCCCATTAAAGAGTTTCCTCAATACAATTAAGAAGAAGAGTTTATATAATGCTATTTAAAAATTTTGGAAAATTCAAATTCATGATAAGTTAGATGCCTCTACTATACTTTTGTATTTTATGAAACTATATGAAAAAGATAATGATTATATAGTTATTCCATGTTTTAAAAAATCATCCAATAAACTTACTGGGCTTTTTTAGATAACAAGTCAACAATGAAATGAGCTTTGGCCTAAATTTCATAATATAATTATTTATAATAACATAGCAAAAACTAATAGATATGAAATGTTTTTTGATTTGTTTATTAGTATTGATAAAAATTTTAAGACAAGAATTTTTACTCAAGCTTAAACAAAATATAAAACACAAGCTAATTATCATTAAATACTAAATTGTATATTAAAAGCAACTAATAATCTTTTTTCTTTTATATTGTTTATGAATAATGATCTAGCTATGATAGCTACTATTCAAGTTGTTTACTAAAGACTCACCATTTGTTATATATATTTCATATAATGAAAAATGTTAAAAAAAAAGCCAAAGCCAAATTATATAGTAAAATAATCAATAGTTTCATAAAAGATTTTTACTATATGTATAATAGTCATCATTAAGAAAATAAATATAGTGCAGATTTGCAAAAGTTTGCAACCATAGAATTTTTTAACAAAATTTGCGATATCTTGCAATTCAATACTCCAAATTTAACAAAACAAGTACTATTCAATTTGCCTCAATGAGGCAGATCGAATAATACCAAAATCATTAAATTTTGATTACTGAAGCGTGAAATAATCACATTTAATTAATAATTCGGTTATTATCGGCACTATTTTATATATATAATTTGGGATAAAAATTTACCAATTTAATAAGAGATCATCTAAAATATATAAAGTTACAAGTTTGACAAATTCCCAACAAATAAATAATTCTGTATAACAAAAAAGACAATTTGTGCAAAAATGGTTGTAAATATATATTTTTAAAAAAAATTTCACATTTACTTGACAAAAAAAAAACTATTATATACGAACGTCAGATTCCAACAGCTTTATTATATATAAAAATTGAATTTTAATATATGACGCTCTATATATGAAGTAAGTAATATGAAAAAAAATTATGTACTAGAGATTTCAGGCATCTCTAAGGAAAGCCTTGCCATATTTTGCTTCCACTTATAACTAAATGTTGCAATCTAATTATTTATAGTAGATACTTTTGGAACATCACTTTGGTCAAATTCACCATGTTGAGCCCATTTTAACAATTCTTTATATATTTCCTCACCTGATATTTTGTATTATTATCTACTGTTTCTGCGTAAAACATATTTTCTAATAAACTTCTAATTTGTTTAGTCATTCGTTTTCAAGATTCTTTCTAATGATTTTTTTTATTTTTTTAGCTAAGGCCCAACCTAATGAATATCTATCATGACTGAATTGTATAGTTTATTTATTATTTAAGATATTTGTTTGATATTGTACTATATACAATACAGCAGTATATTTACCTTTTTGGTGAGTAAATATCTGGTTGTGTCAGGTCAATTGTATTTAGATCCTAAAATTTAAAATTTTGCCTTTTAACTTTAAAACACAATACATCATCTGTAGAAAGCAAATATATCGGCTTTACTGAAATTCAAAAGCAAGATAATTCCTAAAACTTTTTTTTTTTTAACACATTGTATAAGCTATTATTTACGATCAACTTTATATTATCAACTTTTTGAAAGGTTTTACACAAATACTTTCAAGATATTGGCCATGCAACGATTAATATCATAAAATGAAATTTGGTTTGTCGGAGCAAATAGTTAGCTGAAATATGCCATGCAGCGGCATATTTCAGCCAGCTATTTGTTATGAAGAACTATTGATCGTTGCTCCAATATCGATGTTATCATGTAATTATAATCATGATTTACAAGTCATTATTGGCTGAGATTGTTGTTATGTAATAATGTACAAAAAATAACAAGAAAAAAATCTATATTCATAAGAGTTTGCACAATAACATCTATTTTTGTTTCTATTAACCTGAATTTGACAATTTTATTATGGTGTATTTGCTACCAAACCTAATTTTTAATTATCAAATCATAGATCAATCAATGCTAAGCTTTGAAAATTTTCTGGTTAATCTCAGATCTATATTAATAATGTGTCTTACCTGTTTTTTCCACTTTCTGATATATTTTGTTATAACTTATCAAACGTAGAAATTTATGTGCCTTGAGGATATTTATTAGCATAGCAAAAGCAGTATTACATATTAGTATTCAAAATTTTTTGCATTTTTATAAATATGCCATAATGTTTAGTGCAAATAAGAAATTTCTTAGTTTATTTATACTGGTAAGTGTAGTTATTGACTTTAGATTTTAGGAATCTTACTAATACATAGAAAATTTTCGAAGGTACTTTAACAGGTAAAAATAACTTCAGTAAGCAATATTAGCTAATAAAATCTTACCGAAGTTATTCTGATATTTAGTATTTAATTTATTCATTATATTTTTATCTATTAAATAGCGAATAAATAATTAAATTTGGATTACAAATTAAGATATAATTGTATAAGTATATACTTTGAATATATAGTGCTAGCATAGTCCAAGACTTAGGAGGTATTGTATGCTCTAATAGCAATAGTTCTGGCCTTTTAAAAATATGATCTTTTGTAATTTTTATAATTTGTTCAGATGCATATTTTTTCCATGGTCCTAACTCTGGTAATGACTTAGCCAAAATATATCTGACTTCTTCTCCCTCATCTGGCCAAGCCCACTTATGCCAACTAGAAATTCCATGTATTGTTCCAAGTTTACTATTTGCTTTTATTTAGTTTGATTAATTAATATTTATATTTTTTAACTTAGAAGAAACAAAATATACAAACCTTCATAATTAGGTATGATATTAGCAACATGAGTTCCTGCCAAGTCTTTTATTGCTTTCTGTATTTCTTTACCCAATTTAATATTATGTCACATTTTTACCCATCATTTTATAGTGTGTGTTAACTAAGCAAATAGTAATAATGGCTTATTAGGATTTATTAACTAAATATGTAAAAATTTATTTATATCTGGGCATGGTGCAAGTCGATTGCCATTTTTGCTTCGCCTGCCTCGAGAGAAATCTATTTACATACTGAAATACTATACGATTCCTTCTAATGAGCCATTATTATCATTAGTTCTGTGTTGTGATAATATGGCCCATTGTCAGAAAAAATACTAATTCATTTTGGTTTTATTTCAATCATTTCTATTACTCCATAAAGTAAAGATGCAGTAAACCAGGTATCTTGTTTACTGTCACTGCTCCAATGATCAAATGCATGGATATTAATTTTGCCAGTATCAGAATCCTTTGTATACATTAAGACTAAATGGAGTGACTATCCATGTTTACTAAAAAACTCTGCTTTTGTCTTTCGAGATTTTTGGCACAAAATTTTCATCTTATAGTCAACAATTATTAATGTGCTATCTGAACCAAGTTGTGCAAGATTAGCACTTAGTTGAGCATTAAGATGCGTTTTACATGCATATGAGCTTGAAAATATATAAGTTTAGTTTGATACTCATTTAGAACCTCATCAATTTCTATAGAGATATTAGTCTTTATTTTATCAAAAAAAATAAACAATTTTTTACAATTTTCGCAGGTTTCTGAATAAACTAGATCGCAATCACCAAATGCGTGCCATAAATAATGACTTATACAATGATCGTGCATAGCATTATCTAATGAATTAATAGTAAGTTTCATGGCATAATCTCTTCGCAAATATCGTTTTAAAGTTTGTGCTTGAATGCTAATTTTACCCTATATTTAAGCATTAAAAACATAATTAATATTGCATACAAATATATATGTCTGCGTATATACTAGTCATTGTGAAGTTGACTGTGAAGAATCTTCATAATTATTATATAATTATTATATTTCTAATAAAAATATAATAATTATATGATAATCATGAAGTTTCTTCACAATTAATAACAAAATTTTAGGTTGCCATACAAGATATCTAGTTGAGGTAATATAGTAGTGGCAGAAAAAATTTGCAATTAGATTACTGTGACTCAATCAATGATCAACAAACTTACAGTACCATGTATATAGATAGTAGATAGTTGTATTGTAAGGTTCAAAATGATCAAAAATCACCTGATTGCAAATTTTTTTTGCCATCACTATGTAACCTTGTCTAGTTGATAAGAAGCTATCTTAATACTGTTTTTTAAAAATGCTCTGGTTGATCTGAATAGAACTGTGCGAGACGACTTATAAAAGTATTTTAATACTTTTAAAAATACTAGTATTTGTAATCAAATAGTTGAGTATACAGAAGACTATATTGAGAGTATATGTAATACATACACTATAAGCATAGTTCTGCTGTGTGGGGGCATCCATATATAACGTTATGTACCCCTACGTAGTAGCTCTTGACCCCCCTAGACTATATAAAAAATTTTTAAAAATCCATATAAAATTTTACAAAAACTTGAATATATTATGACCCAGTAGTCCAATCAGAATGATTTTGGTACCATTCGATTCGTCTCTGT